CAAAAACACAGCTCTTACTTCAAAAGAAATAGATGGTTTAATCTCGAGCCAAATATGAGTGATCATGGCCTGGGAATATGGATTCAGGTTGCCCCAAAATGCAAGTTACACTGTGGAAGTAGTTACATGAGATTTTACTAGTTACAGAACAAAGTTATAAATCAAGACATTTGCCAAATATGTCAGTGAGGACTACAGGTAGGCAGGTTACAGCAAAGCAGGGAAAACTGTTACAGGTTTCAGATGCTATGTGATGCCATTCTTAGCTTTTGGATTGGTGGAAACTTGTGGGAGACAGGCTTGAGCCTAGGGTGAAAGTCTTAATGACAGCCACACAGCTGACCTGAGGCAACAGCCTGACTGCTGGAGCCACAAGGAAGGCCTTGTGACATTTGCTCCCATTGGCAGATCACGAGACTGATGCCTAGAGCTTGCCACTCCCTAATCACCACCCTTGAGATCCCAAATTCAACACTTAGCCTGGGTCACGTGATTCCCAGGAAACCAGGCCCCATAAGGAAACCTGAACCTAAGTAACCTAAAACCCATTACGCTAACGAGGTGTCTGGCTCATGATGTCACAGCCCTGCCAAAGACCTGAGTTGTAACTGCTTGATTGGACCCCTACCCCTACATAAACTTGTGCCCTTCTTCAATAAACCAGATCTGTGTCAATGAACCTGGTCTCCTGTGTCTGAATGCGGCTCTGCTGACACAGTCTCCTCACCAGCCCTGGGGTCCAGGACCGGGCAGAAGTAGTGACGATAAGAGGCAGCGCTGGGTGAGCAGAAGAGTGGCCCCAGCACCCGGCTAGCAGAAGAGCAGTGACAGCTTGCAGCTGTAGCAAGGAGCGAAGGGCAGCACCCCTGAGATCACAGGCGGTGCCCGTGCATTGGAGGTGGCACCCAGGAGGAGGTGCCCAAGCAATCGGAGGCAGCGCCCATGTGATCAGCACCAAGTGAATGGAGAGCGGCTGCAGGTGGCACCTGGAGACAACACCCAGAGAGTGGAGGGGTGGCTGCAGCTAGTGGTGGCCGCAGAAACTAATGGTCCATTAAGAATACATTTTAGGGGCTGGAGAGATGGCTCAGTGGTTAAGAACACTGGTTGTTCTTGCAGAAGACCTAGGTTCGAATCCCAGCACCCACACAGCAGCTAACAACTGTCCATAACTCCAGTCCCAGGGGATTCAACAGCCTCTTTTGACCTCTGCACGCATTGCATGAAAGGGGTGCACTTACCATGCAGGCAATACATGCATACACATAAAATAAAAATAGTAAAAAAATTTTTTTTAAAAATACATTTTAAAAGTAGGGCATGGAGGGGCTGGAGAGATGGCTCAGTGGTTAAGGACACTTTGCAGGGGACTCCAGTTTGATTCCCAACACCAACATGACGGCTGACAACCATCTGTAACTCCAGTTCCAAGGGATCTGATGCCTTCTTCTGACCACCTCAGGCATTGCTCAACATGGCTGCACCTACCTACTTGTAGGCATTACAATAAAACAAATAAAATAGACATAATAAAATATTTTTTAAAGTAGGGGGTGATAGCACATGCCTTTAATTCCAGTACTTGGAAGGCATAGTCTGGTGGATCTCTGTGAGTACAAGGCCAACCTGGTCTACATAGCAAGTTCCAGGTCAGCTGGAGCTAACAGAGAGACTCTGTCTCAAAAAGACCCCCCCAAAAATACATTTTAAAGGTTTGGGGGCTGGAGAGACGGCTTAGTGGTTAAGAGCACTGATTGCTCTTGCAGAGGGCCTGGGTTCAGTTCCTAGCATGCACATGGAAGATAACAACTGTCTGTAACTCCAGGTCCACAGGGGATTTGATGCTCTTTTCTGACCTTTGTGGGCATTGCATGACATAGGTGCACTTACATACGTATAGGCAATACATTCATATACATAAAATAAAAATAACAAATATAATAAAATAAAATTAAGGTTTGATAGATACAAGGGTGGTTAGGTCAAACATGGAGTGGGCAATTAATAGCTTCAAAAGAGACCAAAGGAGGCTGAGGACATAGCTCAGTTGGTAAAGTGCTTGCCTAACATTCACAAAGCCCAGGGTTTGAGCCCCAGCACTTCGTAAACCAGACATGGTGATGCATACCTTTGATCCCAGCATTCATGAGATGAGGGGTGGAGGTTGGAGGATCAGAAGTTCAAGATCATCCAAGGCTATATAGCCAGTTTGAGGCCAGCCTGGTATATATATGAGAGACCCTGTCTCAAAAAAGTGCAGCGTCTTAAGTCAAAGAGATTAAATATAGCCCAAGATACTTTGGCTTTGGTCTGTAGTGTTTTAACTCCACAATCATGAAGTTCAATTAGTTGGCCTTGTAGAATCTTTAACACAGGAACAGCTTTTCTTTTTTCTTTTTTAATGGAACTTCAGTTTATAGTGTATATTCACTTGTACAAAGTGATTTTTTTAGCATTAACATTGTTATGCAAGCATATCATGTACTTTGAACATATGGTTAAACACACACACACACACACACACACACACACACACACACCCCATTACTCTCTCCTGGCCTCTCTCCTACAATGGTCTGTCTTAATAACAAATATTTCCATTTCCTTCATTATTATGCAATGAAATCCACAGATAATATAATCTAATGGGTACGTGGCCTCTGATTAGCCTCCAGTGATTTTTCCTTCTGAGGTTTTTGACCTTATGTAATCCCCTCTTCTTGTATGTTGGCTGCACTTGATTTACCCCTACTGAACAGAACAGGGCAGGCACTGAACAGAACATGGGATGGCACTTCCCAATTAGGTTCAAAAAAAGAACATGGTAGGATGGCACTTACCAAGTTAGTCAAAAAAAGAACACGGCATCTTTCTTCTGGGTATCCTTTTGGGTTCCCTTACTTGTCAACAACTTCCATGTTGTTGGTGCCCCATGGAAGAACCGCATGGTGAAGAACCATGGGAGGCCTCTGGGCAAGCCACAGCAAACAACAGAGACCCTTAGACCTACAACCTGAAGGAGCCAAATACTGCTGACAGCTACATAAGTGATTCTGGAAGTGGATCTTCCTCTGTCAACACTTCAGATGTGATTGCAAGGCCAGCCAACATCCAAGTGTAGCATGAGTGAACTTGAGCTAGAAAGATCCAAAATTGAACCCAGATTCCTAACCAACAAATGCTGTGATACAAATTTTTGTTTTGTTTACTTTTCTGAGATAGTCTTGCTATGGAGCCCTAGCTGCGGCCTAGAACGCCTGGTGAGCCTCTTGCCTCTGCCTCCTGGCTGCAAGCACGTTATCACCATGCTCAACTTTAAATATTTAAAAATATACTTTCTGGGGGCTGGCGAGACGGCTCAGAGATTAAGAACTGGTTGTTCTTGCAGAAGACTTCGGTTCGTATCCCAGCATGCACATGGCCGCTAACAACTCTGTAACTCCAGTCCCCATAGGGGCCAGAAGAGGGTGTGGGATCCCCTGGAATTGAAGTTCAGGATACCTGTTAGCTTCCATGTGTATGCTGGGAACTGAACAAAGGTCCTTTGAGAGTGCTCTGAATCGCGGAGCTGTCTTTCCAGCCCTTACATGTTTGGGGTTTTGTTTGTTTTTTTGGTCTTTTTTGAGACAGGGTCTCCCAGTAGCCCCAGCTGGCCTGGAACTCACTATATAGACCAGGCTGGCCTTGTACTCAGAGATCAGCCTGCCTCTGCCTCCCAGAGGATTAAAAGCGGGTGCCAGTGCGCCCAGCTTAAATGTTTGTTTTAAGTCACTAAGTTTTGGCATAGTTTTTACAGAGGGAAAAAATTCCTAAATGCATCTGCCTATTACTACCATAATTTGAAACATATAGCCGACCAGTGTTGGATAGAAGCAGAAGGATCAGGAATTCAAGGTTAGCAACATAGTGAGTTTGAGGCCAGCCTAGGCTATATGAGCCCCACCCAGCCCCAAGTTTCAAAGCATATGTAAAGTGCTGAAAAAGTGCTTTATGCTTATGTGAACAAGGATAAGTTCTAGTCTCAGATAATTACCTTTTTTACTGGCTGGCTGTTCAGTAGACCAAGACATTGTGCACTTTACTGGGCAGTTTTTTGTTGTGAGGGATTGTCTTAAATTGTAGGTCACTTTAAATGTCTAGCTCCAACCTTCTAAAGTCATCGTCCGTGGTGTCCTGTGTCGTGACACCTCCCCCACCTCCCCACTCCCGTCACTGTTCTGACCAAAAGGTTTACCCAAGAAAATTCTAAATCCTCTCAACCTAAATTCCTTTAGAACTACAAGTGAGCCGATCGTGGTGGTGCACGCCTTTAATCCCAGCACTCAGGAGGCAAAGGCAGCTGTATCTCTGTGAGTTAGAGGCCAGCCTGGTTTACACTATGAGTTCCAGGACAGCTGGGGCTGCAGGGAGACCTGTCCCAAAAAGACCAAAACAACAACAAAAGAAACAAACAAAAAAACTACGATGCTTTCCCATTAGTGGAACTGCAAATCATTGAAACGGCTTATATGGTCTTACTCTCTTTAGGGAACAGAACTCTAGAGTCTGAGCCTTCTCTCCAGTCCCTCCTATGTAACTAAAAAATAATTATTTTGGGGGCCGGGCGTGGTGGCGCAGGTCAATCCCAGCACTTGGGAGGCAGAGGCAGGCGGATCTTTGTGAGGTCAAGGCCAGCCTGGTCTACATAGTGAGTTCCACGACAGCTGGAGCTACAGGGAGACCCTGTCTCAAAAAGACACACACACACAAAAATATATATATATATATTTGTTGTTGTTTTTAGAGCCGCAGTTTCACGTGGCCCAGGATATTCTCCAACTCAACCTCCCGAGTGCTGGATTGAAAGGCCGGCGCCACCACGCCCGGTTTTAGATTGTTTTTAATCCTGGTTCCAGTCCACCTCCGCGAAGCACGGGTAGAGACTGGGAAGCCACCCGCGCAGGTGCAGCCCCACACCTCCGCCCTTCCGGTCCCGCCCACCCCTTACGGGAAGTGACGCATGGAAGTAGTAAAGCCGGCTTGTGGGAAGCAGTGGGCGCTTGGCTGGGCAGGCTGCTGGTTTAGAAGGATGGCAGATGAGGAAGAAGACCCCACCGTGAGTGCGCGCGCCTGTCCCCCTGCCTGCCTCACCCCCGCAGGCCCAGTGCGGAGGCCAAATCTGCAGCCGGGTGATTTCCTTAGGGGGGTTCCGCGGAGAGTGCGGGGATGTTGGGCATCACCAGCAGGAAGGGGTCTGCGTTTGATCTGGACCTGCCAGACACCCACAGATCACCAGAGGCAGAGCTTATACTGCTGACACGAAGCAGCGGTCCAACTTCTCACAAAACCAGACTCATTGTGAAGGCGGTGAAGGAACCGTGACTGGGGATCAGGAAGCCTGAAATTCAAATTCTCTTTTCTCTGAGCAACTTACTGAACTTTGAGCATCGGTTTTCTTGTCCTAAAATGGGGTTAGGTTCACTTAAGGAAGTTTTTAGTGCTGTATTAACAGGAGTTCAGTATGTGTTTTGATTACTGCAGAATACACTTTAAACCAGTATCAGTCTTTTAGCTGTAACATTGTCTACCAGTAGGACAACTTAGTGGCTAAAACAGACAAAACCCAGAACCTATGGTCATGAGAACTCTTAAACACAGGGCGATGTACTAATTCTCCACGGCCCTTTGAGTCTTAAGTTTTCATGATTATTTTGCTGCTTGCTTTCTAGTCTGATACCACTATTGAAAATGCAGGATGTGGTGTTACCTGCCTTTAATCCCAGCATTCAGGCAACAAAGGCAGGCAGATCTGAGTTCCAGGCCAGCCTGGGCTACATAGCAAAATAAAATAAAATAAAATAAAAAGGTGGCCGACCACCTGCTTAGCATCTGTGAGGCCCTGAGTTCAGTTGGTTGCACTGCAAAAACTGAAAGAAAAGGCCAATTAGTGGAATATCAAATGTGATGTAATCATTTGACATTTTTGTGTGTATTTTTAAATTTCTAGTTTGAGGAGGAAAATGAAGAAATTGGAGGCGGTGCAGAAGGTGGACAGGGTAAAAGAAAGAGACTTTTTTCTAAAGAATGTAAGTTGTTATTTCACAATAATTTTATTATAGATGGAGAAAACTTTTGAGCATATCCTTTCAAAGCAGATTTATTGTTCTGAATGTGTTTGCCTGTAGGGACAATATTCTCCAACTTGCCTATAAAATTGTCTGGTTTTGGCCGGGCGTGGTGGCGCATGCCTTTGGTCCCAGCACTTGGGAGGCAGAGGCAGGTGGATCTCTGTGAGTTCAAGGCCAGCTTAATTTTTGACATCTATATAGCTTTGGCTGTCCAGGTATTCACTATGTATCCCAGGTGGGTTTGGAGGCAATCAGCTTGCAAGGTACCTGGATTACAGTCATGTACCACCATGTCTACCATAATTGTCTAATTTTTGAATCATGTATGCTAATAAGTTGGTGTGTCTATGTGTATATATGACATATAAATGATTATCACCTTTTGGTCTTTTTTTTTTGAGACAAGGTCTCCCTGTAGCCCCAGATGGCCTAGAACTCACTACATAGACCAGGCTGGCCTTGAACTCCTGGAGATCCACCTGACTCTTCCTCTGGAGTACTGGGATTAAAGGCATGGACCACCATAATACTTATTTTTTTAATGTGTATGAGTGTTTATGCTTGCATATATGTAAGTGCACTCATGTTGTGCAGTGCCCATGGAGGATGGAAGAGGGCTTTGGATCCCCTGGGACTGGAGTTATGGATGGTTGTTAGTCAGTCACCATGTTGGTGCTGGGATTCCAACCCAGGCCTTTTGCAAGAACAGCCAGTGCTCTTAACCACTGAGCCATCTCTCCAGCCCTATGATCACTTTTTGAAAAAAACTTGTTTTTTGTTTTTGTTTTTTTTTTAACTTAAACTGGGTCTTAATGTCTGGTCTCAAGCTTGAGGTATATAGCTGATGAACCTGAACTTCTGATCCTCCTGCCTTTACTTCCCTGGTGGTAGAATTACAGGCATGTCCTGCCATTCCCGGTTTATGCCTTGCTGGGGATTGAACCTGGGGCTTTGTGTATGCTAAACAAGCACATCTTTAATCCCAGCAGAAGCAGGTGGATCTCAATGACTTCTGGGCCAGGTGAGGCTACAGGAAGACCCTGTCTCAAAAAAACAACAACAAAAAACAGGCATTTTACTACTAACTGAGGTACATGCCTTGTCCCCTTTTTTCCTTTCTTTTTTTTTTTTTTTTGAGACTGGCTTTATGTAGCTGAGGATGACCATGAACTTCTGTTCCTCTTGTGTCCATCTCCCAAATGCTGTAAGCAGAAGCGTTGGACTAAGACTGTGAACAGGCCAGAAAGCAGTGGCGTGTGAGGCATTCCAGTAGCACAGAGATTATAACATTCTGGTCCTCTGTCATACTCAGTAGACAGTTTGGCCATTTTTTGGCAGCAGAAAAAAAAAAGCTGTTTCTGCTTCTCATAAGTCCATACCAACTGGAAGGTACCTTGAGAATGTGCTCTGTTCAGAGTTCTTGACATATAGTCATGGCTGACCATTGAGAGGTATAGCAACACAGATTTATGAATGACAAGTTTATTTACAGGGGTTACCAAAAACTCTTGAAATTGCAAGATCAGTTTTTAAGTGTCTAAATCCTTTTCCAGTCATACATGGTAGCACATACCTATAATCCCAGCACTTAGAAGAGGATTTGGAATTCTAGGTTATTCTTGGCTACATAGTGAGTTTGAGGCCAGACTGGACTGTTTGAGACCCTGTCTCTAAACAGCAACAAAAGCCCTTTCTCATGGGGCTGGAAAGATGATTCCTTGGTTAAGAGCACTGACTGCTCTTGCAGAGGACCTGGGTTTGGTTTCCAGAACCCATATGTCAGCTAACACCCATCTGTAACTCCAGTTCCAGAGGATCCTATACCCTTTTTCTGGCTCTGGGCATTGGATGACACTAGTGCACTGACATACATGCAGGCAAAGCACTCATATACCTAAAATAAAAATAAATCTAAAAAAATTTTTTAAATCCCATATCTTTTTTAGGGGGGTGGCAGGGAGGGATTAGGCTTTTTGAAACAGTCTCCCTGTAACCACAACTGGCCTTGAACTTGCTATGTAAACCAGGCTGGCCTAGATCTCACAGGGATCCACCTGCCTCTGCCTCCTTAGTGCCTGTCCGGATTAAAGGTGTGTACTACCACACCTAGCTCTTTCCCATATCTTAATTCCTCACTTAAACTGAACGCTCCCTATTCCATCTTTCTGATGTTAATTACTTGATTTGTAGGTGGTTTTACTTCTTGTTATGTGGGCATATGAAGATCCCTAAACCAAAAGTGCTCCACAGTGATACTTGTGCTGCTGTTGCTTGTTAGCAAAGACCTTAGTTCAATTTCAATTGTTTTACTTTTGTGATGACAAAAATTTGAAATCTTCAGAGCCTTCTCTTTGTCTTATTAGAATCTTGCATTTTTTGTTTGTTTGTTTTTATGTTTATGTGTTTTGCCTGCGTGTATGTGAATGTACCATATGTATGCAGTGACCCTGGAGACAAGAAGAGGGCATTGGATCCCCTGGAACTGCAGTTATGGACAGTTGTTAGCCACCATGTGAGCGCTGTTAACTACTGGGCTGTTTCTCTAGTCCTGACTCCCAGCCCCTTTGGTCTTTAAAAAGAAATTTTTTTTTTTTTTAATTTTATGTGCATGAGTGTATTGCCTGCTTGTAGGTAGGTGTACCCATGTCATGCAGTGCCTGCGAGGTCAGAAGAGGGTGTTGGATCCCCTGGAACTGGGATTGTTAACTGCCACGTGGGTGATGGTAACCGAACACAAAAGTGGCCAGTGCTCTTAACTGCTGAGACATCTCTCCTCCTACCTTAGCCTGGGATTACATGTGTTTGCCACCACATCTGGAAAAATGCTCATATATCTTTTCTCTTTTTATTCTTTTTGAGACAGCGCCAGCTGTCCTGGAACTCACTATTTAGACCAGGGTGGCTTCCAACTCAGAGTTGTGGGATTACAGGCTTGTATTACCATGCCTAGCCAATGTTTGTATATCTTAATGATTGAGAGCTCTTCTAAATCCTTTTAATATTTTTGTTTTGTTTTAAATGACTTTTTTTTTTTTTTTTTTTTTTCTTTTTGAGACAAGGTTTCCCTGTAGCCCCAGCTGTCCTGGAACTCACTATGTAGACCAGGCTGGTCTCTCACAGAGAGCCACCTTTGCGCATTCCATGGCATGCATATGGAAATCACAACTTGAGGGAGTTGGTTCTCTCCTTCACCATGAACATCCCAGAGATCAAATACAGATGGTCAAGCTTGGCAGCAGGTGCTCTCACCTGGTGAGCCATCTCCCTAGCCCATGTTTTTGTTTTTTTTGAGACAGGGTTTCATATAGCCCAGGCTAGCCTTGAAGTTACTATGTAACCTAAGATGTCTTTGAACTTCTGATCCTCCTGTTCCTACTTCCCAAGTGCTGGGATCACAAGACTGCCACCTAATTTATACAGTGTTGGGGATTGAACCCAGGCCTTCAAGCATGTTGGGTAGGCACTTCACTGACTAAGCTACATTCCCAGCCCTAAAAAATTTCTTTCTCTTAATACAACACAGAATTGCAAAGCACCCAATGTTATTTTTTTTTATGACTTTACTGACCCTTTACCAAATACACAACTTCCAAATTCATACCTCTTATATGTTTCCCATTTCCAGTGAAACGAATGTTATGCCCATAAAAATGTTGGTAAAAAAGTATCTTCCTCAAATATTTAAGGCAAAAATAGTTTGCATAGGTTGGAGAGATGACTCAGTAGTTAAGAGCACTTAATGCTCTTCCAGAGGACCTAGGTTCAGTTCCCAGCACCCTAATGACTGTCCTTAGCTCCACTTTCAGGGGATCTGCTGCCATCTTCTGACCTCCTTGGGCATCAGGCGCACATGTGGTACAGTTACATACATGCAGGTAAAAACTATACACATTAAATAAAAATTTTAAAAAATAGCTTACAGTGGGCAATTATAACAAACATCACTTTTGCTAAATGATCAAAGTTAGCATCACCAATGATACATTGATATCATATACCCTTGATGTGAGAGCATTTTTTGGAATCCTCTCTAATTGTATATAAAAGCATGCAAACCTCAGCCTAATCATGAGCAGAACAATCTGCAAGATAACTGGCCAGTATTCTTCATAAGTGGTGAGAAAAAAACTTAAAGAGGCATGACAAGTAAAGTGGAATCTTTGATGGAACCTGGACCTGGCCTGGGGTTGAAGCTCAGTATAAGGGCATGTGTCTACCGTGTATGAAGCCCTAGCTTTGATCTTCAGCACTGAGGCAGAATATCAGGAATCTGGAGCAGAAAATTGACCTAAATAGAAAAATCAGCACAATATAAATAAGGTGCTTATACCAGTGTTAATTTCATTTGATGAATATTTATGTTACGTAAGGGAAGCTAGATATTGGACATATGGGAACTCCACAGCTCAACTGTAAATCTAAAATTATCTCTTAAAAATGTAATTTTTAAAAATAGAATTCAAGGGCTGGAGAGATGGCTCAGTGGTTAAGAGCACTGACTGCTCTTGCAAAGGACCCAGGTTCGATTCCCAGCACCCACATGGTGGCTACAAATTGTCCTTAACTCCAGTTCCAGGGGAATCCAAAGCCCTCTTCTGATCTCCATGGCATTGCATGACATGGGTGCACTCACATACATGCAGGCAATACACTAATACACATGAAATAAAAATACTAAATAAAATATATTAAAAGTAGAATTCAGGGGCTGGAAAAATGGCTCAGATTTTAAGCAGCCATTGGCTGCTCTTGAAGAGGACCTAGGATCAGTTCACAGTACCCACATAGCAGCTCACAACAGTCTGTAATTCTGGCTCTAAAGGATCTGACACCCTCTTCTGGCTTCCACAGGAATCACACACATGGGTGCTCTTATATACATGTAGGCAAAACATATAAAATAAGATTTTTTAAAAAAATAGAATTTAAAAAGAGCACTGACTGGGGCTGGAGAGATGGCTCAGCAGTTAAGAGCACTGGCTGCTCTTACAAAAAACCTGGGTTTAATTCCCAGCACCCACATGGTGGCTAAGAACCATTTATAACTCTAGTTCCAGGGGATCCAAACCCTCTTCTAATCTCTGTGGGCATTGTATAACACAGATGCACTTACATACATGCAGGTAATACACTCTTCATACACATGAAATTTAAAAAAGTACTGGCTGCTCTTGCAGAGGACCTGGGTTTGAATCCCAGTAGGGGCGGTTTATGGGGGTTTAAGTAATAAAGCTGATCATAAGACTGGTTAACTCTTTTATACTGGAATCCATACTTTGAGACATACATGCAACAAAATTATGCTTTTCTAGCCATTGTTTATAATTTGGTTGAATTCTATCTAGTTGGTAAGGAAAGGTACTAGTGAAATTGTTAAATCCATCATGTAAACCAAAGTGATTGTTCTTTCATAGTGCGGTGTATGATGTATGGGTTTGGGGATGACCAGAATCCTTACACTGAGTCCGTAGATATTCTTGAAGATCTTGTCATAGAGTTCATCACTGAGATGGTAAGATAGTTTTTTGTTTCTCCTTTTTAATTTTTTTGGTAACTTGTTTTAGTTAATTGAAGACTAGATTTGAAATGCCAAGCCTTAGATAAGACTAAAACTTTTAAAAAACCGGATAGGTTTTGAGTGTCTATTTTGTAGAAGTTACTTGTTTCTATGTCATTTAGGATGGAGATTGTATAAATGTATTCCACTGCCTTGAAGTTTTCTTTTCTTTTCTTTTTTTGGTCTTTTTGAGACAGGGTCTCCCTGTAGCCCCAGCTGTCCTAGAACTCACTATGTAGACCAGGCTGGCCTTGAACTCACAGAGATCCGCCTGTCTCCCAAGTGCTGGGATTGAAGGCGTGCACCACCACGCCCGGCTGAAGTTATAAAGACATAATATAAAATCATTGAGTAAAATAAAAAAATATTGCCTATAATCTCATCCAGCATAAGTTCTTTTCCATGTTATATATTTTTTAAAGGTTTGTACAGTTCATACCTGGGAGCCCCCTCCCAAGAGAAAAACAAAAACACAAAAAATTAAAATGGGGGGCTGGAGAGATGACTCAGCAGTTAAGAGCACTGACTGCTCTTGCAGAGGACCTGGGTTCGATTCCCAGCTACAAACTGTCCTTAACTCCAGTTCCAGGGGAATCTGAAGCTCTCTTCTGACCTCCACAGCATTGCACAACATGGGTGGACTCACATACATGCAGGCAATACACTCATACAGATAAAATAATAAAAATAATAAATAAAATGTTTTTAAAAATTAAAATGAAAGTATACAATGTTCTGTGTATCTATGATCCTGGTAACGCTCATTTTATTGTTGTATAATACATGTTTCTTGTGTTCTAATCACTATTTTAATAGCTACAGAAATTTCATTCAATTTTTATCCCCCACCTCTTTTTTTTCTTTTGGGACAGAGTTTCCCTGTAGCCCCAGCTGACCTGGAACTTAGTATGTAGACCAAGCTGGCCTTGAACTTAAAGAGATCTGCCTTCCTCTGCCTCCCAGTGCTGGGATTAAAGGCCTGTGCCACCACGCCCACTTCAGGTTTTGTTTTGTTTTGTTTTGTTTTGTTTTTAATGAGACAGCCTAGGTAGCCAGGGATAACCTTAACTTCTGTTCCTTCTGCCTTCATCTCTCTAGGCTCAGATCGTAGGCTATACCACCATGCCCAATTTATTTGCTGCCAGGGATTAAACCAAGGCTTCATGTATGCTAGACAAACTCTCAACCAACTAAGTTCAAAGTATTTTTAACATTTAATTATTTGTATTTTATGTGTATGAGTGTTTGCCTGCATGTATGCAATGCCTCAGAGGCCAGAAGAGGGTACCAGATTCCCTGGAACTGGAGTTATTGGTGGTTAGTTGCTATGTGGATGCTGGAAACTGAACCCAGGTCCTCTATAAGAGCAGCCAGTGCTTTTAACCACTGAGCCATCTTTCCAGCTCCCAAACTATTTTCTAATTAGTCATTTCTTTATTGTATAAGCAGGTGTTTTATTTTGTGATACTAGTGATTGAACCCAGGGCCCTGTGAATGCTTAGCAAGTACACTGTCACTGAGCTACATCTCTAGCCTCTGAGTCTGACATCTTGAATGACCATTTTTATGGATTTTCTCCTTTCCTTCTTTGGATGTATTAGCAGGAATGGGATTACTGAGTTTGTTGGTTGTGTTTAGTTCTTTGGAGTTTTCACTCTATTTTGGATCATTTCCTTACTGAAAAAAAAGAAGTAAAATTACTTAGACATGGCTGATAGTATAGTTTGATGGTAGAATACTTGTCTCGTATGTGCAAGGCACTGGGTTTAATCCCCAGAGCTAAAAGAAAATATTCACATTATTAGTGGTAGAGCTTGTCCTTAGCATGTTTGAGGCCCTGGGTTCAATGCCCAAGCCCAGCATCACATTAAACAACAAAACCAGGCATAGTGGTTCATGTCTCTACCCCTAGTACTTGAGAGGCAGAGACAGGAGAATCACTTCAAGTTCAAGGCCAGCCTAATCTACATGAGTTACAAGCCATCCAGAGCTACATAGTAGGACCTTGACTCAAAACAACACAACACAAAAACAACAAAACTGCCAGATAATAGTATATGCCTATAATCCCAGCACACCCAGCATTCAGAAGGTAGAGGCAGGAGGTTGATTTTTCAAGCAAGCATGGACTGTATAGCAAGACCTCTTCTCAACAAAAATAAAGCTCAGCATAGTGCTGCATGCCTGTAATCCCAGAACTTGAGGTAGAGGCAGGAGGATTAGTGCAAGTTTGAGGCCAGCCTGGGCTACATAGAAAGAACCTATCATAAAAACAAGACAACTCCCCCAACTCCAAATGAAACAAAACTCCCCGATTATATCACAAATCAAAAAAGGGGGATATCAGCAAAACTGGTAGTTTTAATGTCCTTAATATTTTTTAAAAAAGAAGCCTATGAAGCAAAGAAAAGCACTGCTAATCAACCCAGCAGAAAAAGGACAGGTGCAGGAATAGAAAGGCAGTTCCAAATGAGTTGCTGTAAGTAGAGGAGAAAATGCTCACATTCGCCAGCACTTAATAGGAAATTAAAACATATAATATTTCTAAAAATGTATGTGTTTCTTTGTATTAGACTCACAAGGCAATGTCAATTGGAAGACAAGGTCGAGTGCAAGTTGAAGATATTGTATTCTTGATCCGAAAGGACCCAAGGAAGTTTGCCAGAGTTAAAGACTTACTTACCATGAATGAAGAATTGAAACGGGCTAGGAAAGCTTTTGATGAAGCCAACTATGGATCTTGACACTTTTTGTGCTTTCTGAAATTTTGTTACCTTCTGTGGAAACCATGTATTAGAACCGTGTCTTCTACAGTAACTTCTTGATACCTAGGCATGTAGTGAAAGATGTCTTCAATTTTAGATTGATATTTGAGCCTTAATCACCTGCCTTTGTGTGACCATATTTGAATTACTTATTGAGTTTTAATGACTACACATAAGTATTGTAGACCATGCAGTTCCATCTGCTTCTGACCATTTAAAGGTAAAGTTTTGTTTAGGTTTTAGGTAGATTTGTGCCATTATAAGCTATAAACTGTAGGTGCTTAATATGTCAAATCTAAGTATCCTTTGAGTTTACGAAAGTACAGATATGTGCTTTATTGTATTCCTAAGTTTTTAAACAACAGTGGTCTGAGAGGTTATGAAAGATAATGAGCTGATTTTTATTTCTTTTAAGGTGATGGCATATAAAACTTAAGTTTTTGTAAGGAATGTTTAATGATCTTAAAGGATAGTTTGTTTTAGTATTCTTTTCTAAGGGGTTTTGTTTTTGTTTTTGTTTTAATATAACCTAAAAGTTTCCTGTCAGTGCATCTGATTTAAAACCTTTTTAGGCTTATAACGTATTTGTTAAGTTTTAGAAGACCTCATTTTCCTAGATGACATTAAAATTTCTTAAAATGCTTTCAGTAGCTGGAATGTCAATATTTAAAAAGCTGATGTCAGGGTAAGTATTTGGGGTAATTTTTATTAACAGATTTGTAAGTGCTTTCATTGTGGAAATATATACTTGTTTAAAACCATATGTGACTGTACAAACCACTTTTGTAATTCAGAATATGCAGGCCTTGTGTGTATTTAGCCTATTGCATTAAATTATTATTGTGCATAGCTTATAATAATAATTGAAACTGCATTTAAAGAGATCACTGATACTGTTTGTGAAACTTTTGGTGCTTCTTAACATCTATAAATTAATACTTGGGAAAATACTGCTTGTTTACTGATACGAGGAATGAAGAATTAAACAGATTAATGCTTCTGTTTGTGGTTTATAATCTCCCCCAGAATATTTCATCCATTACTGATAGTGTGATCATTCTAGCTGTTTAATCTTGCCAAAAATCTCTCTTTTTTTTTTTTTTTTTTTTTTTTTTTTTTTTTTTGTGTACAATGCAATCCTATTCTGATTCATTGACTATTAGTCACGGTTGA